ACAAAATGAGAGATTAAGGTCATCTCAAAAAAGAAAGGGGGGGGGGATTCCGATTAGTACCTGTATTTTGGGCCTAGTGTCACTTTGATTCCTAAACTTTAAATGCAACAATTCAGTACCTGAATTTTCAAAATGTGCTAATCCAGTATCTATTGTTAACCAACCGTTAACCAGTCGTTAAGTGGCATTTGAAAAGACATAAATGCCCTTTGAATGTCATCTAATTCTCTTTATGAACCATCCAAATGTTGATAAAAAATGAACAGTCCCAAATTCTTGCCTCTTCTATTCAAGAAAGTTGGGGTCACATCTCAATGGGCATTCTGGTGACCCCAACTTTCTTGAATAGAAGCAAGGATTTGGGACTATTTATTTTTTATCAATGTTTGGATGATTGATAAAGAAAATTAGATGACACTCGAAGGGTATTTGTGTCTTTTCAAATATGACTTAACAGCTGATTAACAATAAGTACTAAATTAGCACGCTTTGAAAATTCGAATACTGAATTATTGCGTTTTAAAATTTGGGGACCAAATGTGGCATTGAGCCCAAAGTACAATGTCCTGATTGAGAATTTTCCAAAAAAAATTGAAGAAATAAAAGAAAGGAAAAGGAGGTGAGAGATTTATAAAGTTGTGTTTAGTAGCATTGTTGTCCTTCATGAAACGTTTGGGATTGATTAATAATAATTGGTGACAAATATATATGAATTGTCACGTCACATACGGAGTCACTTCAACTAAAAAATATATATATTGGGGGATAAAACACCAATTTATATTGATCAACTCAAAACGTGACAATTCATATTTCAGTTCACACCAACTTCTATTGATCAATCCAAACGTTTCATGAGAAAAAAGGAAATGGTACCAAAAACAACCTAAGTGGTTGTGGTTGTGGGGTATATACAACAAAGTCATCAAGTGAAGCTAATATGGATCCCAAATTTTTATCATTTAAGCTCAGTTTGGAAGGAGTGCAAAATCTTATATATTTTCTATTATTTTGTATATATTTTCACTGTATATATTTACATTTGTACTTTTTCCAAATTGAACCTTAGGTATCAAACAGTTAGTGGTCATCAATGACCATAGTTTAAGGGTCCGACTCTGAAACTTATAGCCAATTAACCAGAATTATATATAAAAGTGAGAACTAATCAGATGGTATTTATCAAAATCCATAGAGGGGTTTGATTTGTCAAAGCTCTTCCAATGTCTTTCCTGCAGCATAGGTTTTCCCATAATTAATTTAATGGGTTTTTAACCGTTCAGCCCACCCCTAGGGTGGAGCTAAGATTTTTAGGGGTGGACTGAATCTTAACCGTGGATTGATGCCAAATCTACGGGCAGGATGCCATTTAGAGGGGGCTACTAGTAAATTAAGAGGGGATTACAATTTCAGATTTCTGAGGTGGACTGCAGTCCACTTTATCCCTATTTTTTTTAAATTTCAGTTCAATTAGTGATTTCACAAAAGTGGCTCTACTCTCGCGTTCGTAAATAGGTATGAGCAAGGATCTTTTTTGCATTCCAAAATCTTTCCCATGTCTCTTTCAAGCCAAATTGTCTTTGTTTCTTAGACGATTACTTTTGAAGCTACTTCAACTTTTCTGGTTATTGTTCCTCATTGAAGAAGACATCTTTCAAACTCACATTGCCGAGTTGGGGCAAATAACATTTTGAAAATAGTGTCTTCAGTTCAGACACCCCCACAGATACAACATATATAAGAAGAAAGAACAACCAACTTAACCAGTTAAGGGAGATCTTTTCTTTTCTTTTCTTTCCCTTTTTTTTTTGTGTGTGTATTGTATGTGTGTGTTAGTTAAGTTAAGGGGGAAGAGTTTGGGAAACAGTTATATTGTTTTAACAAATCTACCTACCTTCTCGTAGTGTTGGATAACTACATCGATATGATCATTTACTTTAATTAGGGTGTGAAAGGAGAGCAGGTCCATGGGCCAGATTCCAATGACTAGGACTTACATATTCTTCAACTTTTCTTTTTCAACCATTAAGGTTGATTCCTCGTTCATGCGCAGAATTCTGATAAGGATCATGATTCTCTACTCTAGGTTTGCGTGACCCAAGTTATCTTCACTTGCTAGCAACCATCCCAATGGGACATAGATGATAGACCTTTCCATCAAACCCAAACCCACGCGCCAAGTCACCATCAAACTTTGGGATCCTTTCCGTAAGTTGATTGACTAGCTAGAAGCCAAAATGCATCTCGGACATTCTGATCCATTGCAACAGTGTAATTCCATTTCCATTTCCATCTCCACTCCACACCACACACTATCGGATCTCAGGAATTAACATCACAGCTATATATATATATATATATAAATTGTCTGGTTTCATCCACAACCCTTTATTTGATTGGTAGCTGGATAGCAATCAAAACAGATCCGCTCCCTCTTGTAAAGACTCCATGGCTGAACACCTTGCTCTATTAATTGCCCCATTGGGCGGGATGACATTGAATGTTCCTTAGGTTTCCACTTACCAAGAAACGGCTCATTGGAGATCAGTACTCTTGGGACCAAGTTAGAATATCAAGAACTTAAGCGTACCTTGTTGAGGGACATATCTTGATATAAAGCTCCAATTAATGGGATCACTTGGCCTCGATATTCTCCTTAATTGGGCCGGTTCTAGCAACCAATTAAACACCCTTTAATTCTTCTGTGACAATATCAGTGCAATGCGATCTATTTGACGGTCCAATGCTTCCTAGGCCTCATGTGAAAGCATTTGGAAGTATGGGTGCAGATGAACCACTCGAGTGTTGGGCCTACCGTTTTTTTTCCCACATTGTTTGCATGAAAGAACAGAACAGCTTTCAGACATTTTCCGAAAAAAGGGTTGTGTTTGTGTTGCAGGATAAAGACCACGTGTCTTCAATTGGACCTTTCACAAAGAGCCAACAATATCATATGGAAACCAAACGTGTCTGTTACTCGTTGGGTCACAAGTTGAGACAGAACAATTTCTTCTGGGTTTTGGAGCCAACCGATCGAGAAACACATCAACCGAGGGACGTACGTACCCATCAGACATCACTAAACAAACGACCAAAACAGCGCCCTTTTCAATGATGCATGAGAGCCTGAAACTGAAAGCAAAGCTAAGCTATATATATATTAGGCGGTTATGCCTAGCACTAGCAAAATGCTAGTCAAGTAGTAAACCCACCCTAGGGTTTGTCTTGTGTTTGTTCGTCTGCCGCGTGCTTTGAGCCTTGGGCTTTGACGTTGAAGAGTTGAAGTGGTGGCAAATTCAAAAACTACCTAGCGTTTGGCTGGTATATAATTAATGCTTGCGCTATGCTCATCGCATGGAATGGAAGAAAGGACGTCTCATCACGACTACTGTCTTCTTCATCCCTCATCCTGTCTGTGCCGACCAGGCAACGTTGTTGTAGCAGGAAAAGTTTGGCAGGTTGGCAGCCTAAAGAATAAAAAAACAAATGGGCAATGCTGTTCATACGGACTGATCAAACCTGTGTTTGAATACGGTGGTGCCCTTAAAATAAAGGGAAAATAAAACCATACGTGGATCTGTTGCATGAAGAAGTAAAGAAACTCTTGAGTAAAGACAAAAAAGCACCCAGACCCAAATCCATGGCTACTAGATTTAGATGGTTTGCATGACTCACATATCACCGTGGATGGATCAAAGTGTACTATCTGGAAGTACTGAAGAAGAAAAAGAAGAAGAGGCCAGGTGAGGAGCACAGATCTGTTCCCAAGCATAAACGAAGAGATGATAATAATGATACAAGAAATTAATTAATAAAGATCAAGAAAAGGAACTCAATGAAATTCATCATTTGGGTAACTGAGATATGTTTTAAGTAACGTCATATATCACCAAAACACACAAAGCTTAAAACGCATATTAATTCAAGTTGTGGAACATATATATAAATATATGTATAATTCAGAATTCAGAGAAATTAAGCTGAATGACTTAAAATTTAAAAATGGGTGAATAAAAATATTAATAATTTTGAGAAAAAGTTGCTGATAATATTTGTCTTTTCGCCTGAGTAGGTAGGGAAGGTTCGCATTCACCAAGAAAGCCCGCCACACTTCTTCGCTTGCCTGCAGTAATTGCTTCAAATAATCAAATCCACTACAGAAATTAGTTACCATGAGGAGATATGAAGATAATATGGAGTTGTAACTTGTAGTTGTAGGATATTTGCACAAGAAAGAAAAACAAGGAGACACCCCACATATACATTCAGCTGGATCACACTTAGCAATAACGTGGATGACTTTAGAAAGCTTTGCTAGTGACAGAACAACAAGTTATACAAGCATTCAACTGGACACAGAAACAACAAAGGCTTTATGTATTTAACATGGTTTGACTTTGGGGTACCCAGACAAATACTTGATTAGATAAAGAAACATACAGAAAAATGAAAATGCAGCAAGGACTCAGCTAATGATGAGACGTAACAGTAAGGCATCAAGGATTTTTCTTTCTTTCTTCGCTAAGAAAACTATCAAGGCATTAAGTTTGACTTTTATAAGTTTTTTTTTTTTTGGAAAGTCAAAACCCTGATATCTCTATGTCATTGTATTTGCCAAAATCAGTGGCTTAGTTTGAGTTGATAAAATATGAAATTATGCATTCGAAATTGGAAAGCAAATTAGAGGCTTTTACTAGATAAGTACCTACTTTAGCGGGTGACTTCCTAGAAGGGAAAACAAATTCAGATTTTTGCAGACTGCATAAATGAAGTCTGAGAAAAGAAAATAATTTTAACCATGAGATCTAGAGAGAATTTTGAGAAAACAGCAATTGAATTCTTTCGGACTTACCAAAGTTATAACTGCCCTTTGGGCTATAATCCTGACCTCGAATTCGCCAAACAGGCCTTGCACCTGTCTCCGACGGGGATTTGATGGGTGAACGGGAACGAGATTCTTGAACACTGACCTTTATGAACCACTCACTAATTACCTACATGTACATAAAATGTATATGCACGTTTGTCCGTGAGAAAAAAAAAGACATTTATACCAATGAAGCACATTCTGTGTTAGTCTAATTTACACGTTTGATACCCAAAGACCAGTTTAACATATACATAATACACGACTGTGTCTAGATGCTAATGAAACAAAATGAAAATACATGATTCTGGTTGGAACTTTTTCGGTCCTTCATTTCTTTAATTCATGCATGTATCATTCTAAACAAATAAGATAGTAGTGACCATAGTCCATATGTACTCCTACACCACCGTGCTTTACATATTATCCACATCATAATTGCATTTGTTTGTACAACTTATAGAGCCTCAGATCTCCGGCACTTCCATTCAGTCCGTGGCATGTGTTCCATTACATGTCACAGACTAAATGGAAACACAGGAAAAACAGTGTAGGATATCCGAACTCCGACTTATGATATAGAAGGAAAAGATGCAATTTTTTTTATCAATAACAACAGGATTTATATTAAAGATTTAAATGATAGATACAAGAGGTACAGTATAAACAGACATTGAGACACAAATAGAATTGTCTCTCCCCGTCAATGTTTTTCAATGCAATGGTTCCAGGTATTTTATACAACCTATAAAACAATTAAAGCATACGGAGGATCTCTTATATATGCAAGAAAAAGCAAAGAATAGATCATGACAAAGTATTAGGCACTGTTTGGTTGAAAATTTTGTATAAGAGCATCGGTCCTCTTTAACTATGTAAAGGATATCAGTAATACTTCATAATATCAAGTCTCTTATATACGCAAGAAAAAGCAAAGAATAGATCATGACAAACTATTAGGCACTGTTTGGTTGAAAAATTTGTATAAGAGCATCGGTCCTCTTTAACTATGTAAAGGAGATCGATAGTACTTCATAATATCAACCCCAAGCCCTCAGAAGCCTTACAGGAAACTATAAAAAAACTTGATATTTGTATGTTTTTAACTAGAAATCACATTGGACCAAGCCCACTCTCCTATGTCCAAAAATATCTGTAGAAATGTATGATTTTAGGCATAAAAAACTGCTATTGAAGCCAAAGAGCTACATTCATCAACACCTTTGCATCCTCCTATTATATGGGGTGGGTAGACTCTTGATACAATTGGACGGCAGAGTTGTATTGGGGTTCCACACTTCCACTATACCTAGCTCATCTCTTGCTTTACTATCTTCCCTCTTGTTTTTAAACATCTAATAAGGTGTCTTTTGATTACCAAAAAGAAATAAGGTGTCTTTTGATTACCAAAAAGAAATAAGGTGTTCTTTTGGGTATCTCTTTTACTCTCATACTCCATTTCCTTGATATATATATATTTGATCAGTTTCCTTGATAATTTTTTGCAATCATAAAATTACTTGCATAAACTAGGGCCAAGTTTGGGAGTGCTTAAAAATAAGTGCTTATTTGAATAAGCACTTATTTTGGGCCGGACCACATCAATAAGGACTTATGCTGGGAAATAAGCCCGAAGTATGTGCTTATTGAGAAGCCCAAAATTCAGGCTTATTTTTAAGTGCTTATTCAATAAGCAGTTATTTCCTTTCTATCCTGTCTTGGCCCCCACATCATTTTGAAAATAACTATACTACCCCTATTTGAAGTAAAGTGCTTGTTCACCAAAATCTCATGAACACTTATTAGAATAAGCACTTATTTTTCAAATAAGCACTCCCAAACTTAGCCAAGAAGTCTCAAGGAACCGTCCAATACAAAAGCTTAAGCTGTTAGGCCTACCCATACCTTGTGCTAAAATTTAATTAAATATAACAGGGCCGCAAGGATTAATTACTAGATTACTTGGCCAAACAGGCTCTGATGCCATCTCAAGCAACTATTCAACCTAAAACCTTAAGCTGTCAGGTGAGGACCCTGAATAGGTTTCTATTCTCTAACAAGAAGCCCGGTTAATAACGGCTTTCTGTTGGGAGATGATTCATCTCAAACTTAAGACTTTTCAGGTTTTCTGAACGAGGCCAAACTGTTCTTTTCCTCCACAGAATTGTCCTTTACAAGAATGCTATTGAAACTTCACCATGTAATAGAATCCTGGTGTTAGGTGGAATCCCCCACTAAGATTGACTTCCTTTTTAAACATCTTCATTCTTCTTCGCCCTTGGAAGATAAGGGAAGATCATGTCAAGATGTTTAGGAGCAGCTACCTTATAAAATAAAAAGCAAGAAAGTTCAATATAGCTCTCATAAATTGACTTTAGACCTTAGATGACTTCTAGTGTCTCAGCATTAATGACATCAGGAGGGGCTGGAAAGCAACGGCCTCCTCTTCATCTAGAAAATCTGCTGTCTCTCACTTTTGTTAACCCCTCAAGATGAGATATTGCTCACTTTTGATAGCCATACTTGAGGAATCCAAGTCGTGCTGAAATAGAGCAGACCTTTAGAAATCAAGAAGGTATGTCCTACTAGTTTACACCTCGTTTGGTTGCGAGCCAATTGAGTCTTCTGTAGCTTTCCGGACAGGTTATGAGCTGGAATCTACATCTATGAGTTTTCAGAGGGGTAAAGTTTGGGGCTAAAAAAAGGAGGTCTTACTATAGTTTACCCAGGTACAATTGGTGATAGAATTCCTATCTAGTCTGAGCTGTACTCCTAGATTCATTATCCCCGAATTAAATCTAAGAATTGAAGGACTCCCAAATGATGACAAGATGAATGATAATAGGAGTTTCCTAACCCTTCTTGGGTGGATCTTCACAGCATTAAAGAGGTTAGATCTTTGGCATACAGCTTGAACACCAAGCTCAGGTGGGTTCGAAAGACAATTAAATTCTTAAGAAGATTGTTTGGATAGGGAAGATATATGAATAGTTGATAAAAAAAAAAAGATAATGAATAGAGATGAATTATTTCAGGGTCCTGCGGCTCCTGCCCAAGGGGATAGGCAACCTTGTATGCTAATTGATTCTTGGTTTGTCGGAAGTTGCTAGCTGCTCTTAGACTAGCAATTGCTTCTTATATCTTTTCTATATTCAATGAAGTTTCTATTTATTTGTTTCTGTTCAAAAAAAGAAAAAAAGAACAAACAGATACCAAAGTTTTGATCAGCATGAATATGGCAACTAAGAGTCTTTAGATAACAGAAGTAAAACAAAACAAAGTAAATCTAGTGAAATGTTGCTGATGTGGATTCCGAAGTATCCTCTAGAATCTTAGGAGTTAGATTGCAATAAAAAAAAACACCAGTTATTTCTTGCTGTACTGTAAGCAGATTCCTCTTAGTTGGCAATATACAGACATCCAAATGATTGCAACTCCCTTTAACATTTCTATGTCCTACTTGAGACTCAGTACTTAAATTCATCAGGCAGTAAAACAGATTTTAAATGTCCTGCATAAAACAAACACGTTTACATTCAGATGGCAATATTTACAGCCCAAGCACTTGCCATTAGACTTTCAAAACCATGACAAGTTAGGACTATTAAAAGAATAATTGAAGGGTTTGGAACATATCATCAGAACTTACTTTAACTCCATGTTTCCTTCATAAAATTTCATTTAATTCAAGATGGCTGGCACTCATTACCAAAACAATATGCACAGATAAATACAATAAAACAACGCTAGATCAACCAAATTAATGCAACTGAAGAACCAGAGGGCTTTGGTCACTATGACATTGTAAGAATCTAAAGCCGCCCAACAGTAAGCACAGCTTGTTTAGGATCCTAGCTAATCTCTACTTAAAATAAGCTCTAGGTTATAGGCAAAGGACTCCAAGCAAATAAAATGCTTCTGATTTTTTTTTTTTTTGGTAAAAGAAAAATGCTTCTGATTGATCCATGATCCAATCACCTTTATAGGTCAAACCAGACTAGGTGCTTCCTTACTATTGTCATAATTCAAGACAATTGTTCAATTTTTCTGATCATTAAGACAAATGTTCATACACTAGTTTTGAACAAAGTCCTGTTGATGAAAGGACTTTGCCAATGTCCATAGACTAATTTTCAGTTCATTCCATATCTGAGCAGTCTCTTTTTTTACCTTCAAATATACGCCACAAGGAACCAATTAGATGTAAACTAATTCACCATTTACAGCATCGCACTTTAATTGGCATTATATGCAAAATTAAGCTCCAAATATTCGGTATCGTTCCTGTCTTTATAGTGACTGATATAAATACTCCAATGACAGTATTGTCATATCATTATTCAATGATACTTGAATAAGATATGCACCTCTGAAAGGGGGAACAGAAATTGAGAATCAAACCATAATGGATATGATCAAAAAGCAAAATTGTCTATCAAATGGCTCTAATGGCCAAGAAAAACCCAAACGTCCATAAAGAGGGTCCATGATGATGTGAGGTTCTGGGTGGTCGTTATCATATGAATTGCTTGTCCTAAAAAAAAAACTAAAAAGACAAGTTATGATAATGGTATCTCCTTTTAGGAATGAATGATCATCAACCTGACCTAGAAAATCAAATCCAAATATTTTAGTCTTGCTAGCACATGGATAAATACTTTAGCATCTAAAGATGCTAAAATCAACAAAGCATGGACGATTTTGAACCCATGCCACCTACCATGGTGACGTGATCATATCATTAAAACAGTGGCAACTTTTTAAGGTAACAATATTATTAACAGTAGTTATCATTAGACTTGGAGCTATTTTATAACAGCTGAAGTGGCTGAACTGAATAATCTATTGCTTTGTCTTTTAGTTCAAGTTATCAAGTTTTTGCAAGTCTGCGGAATAAGAAGCAATATGGTTTTAGAATACATATGGTTTATGTGTTACGTTAAATGCAAAGATTAATTTATCCATCTAGTTGACACTAATGAGAACGAGAGAAGATCCACCATGCACACCCCATTTTTCTCCTAAGTTTATATTAAATTTCGTTACATTTGTCAATTACTGGGTTTTCCGTATAACTATAAGCTCCAGATTCGTAATATAAGGATGTCTACAAGAAGAATTTACCCTGAGAAGAAAATACAAATCTCTGAGCCTAAATATACTTAAAGTCAAGCGAATTAATTAATAATAAATAACTCATTAATCAGAAGGAAATGTTGCCCCAGCCCGACAATGAACAGTACACCTGGTGGCATAGTTGTAAGGCAACGGGTTTTGGTTTCTAGACAAGCAAATGGGACCGGATCCAAAAATTATAACCACAGACAGGCAAAGGTGTTGATCTCATCAAATTGCTCGACACCTGGACTTGCCATACAACACAAAAACGATAGGAAAACATCATGCAAAGAACAGACAGACAGACAGACAACCAATCCCGACCTTCACAGCAACCAAGGCAGGAATCAGACATGATAATCCAACAGATTGCCTTCAATAAACAATTATGACTAATTACCAGGTTTTGATGATCTCGAAAAATAAAAGGACCATGTAGCAAAAACACGTAAAGCCAAAAAACTACCCAACAAAACATTCATGTGAATAAAGAGACGAGAAAGGAAACAGGCACCGAGATAGAGAACACAGATATAGCTTTCATTTATTTGGCTAAACTGAAAGCAGATATTACCATCGGTCAAGGGAGAAAAATACGAAAAAAAGCGAACAGATTAATTAGATTCTTACCTGCAACGAAGAGGACGGACCGAGTACTATCTGCTCTTCCAGAACATCAGTTCTTCCCTTTCCCCTTCAGGTCTGATTGCCTGCAGCCGTCGCCATAGTAGAGTTGCAGGCGGCCATCAAACCCAGCTGGGAATTGATGATTCTCTACGGGTGCAGCTGCTGAAGTTGCAGTCCCGATGAAGAATGGCACGTTTGATCCGTCTACAGGAGATGAAAACCTCTGAAGGTGAGGCAACGGAGATGGTGAATTGGACTGAAGGGTCCCCCTATTGAAACCAGCAAGACCGGAAGAGATTGTGAAATTAAGATTATAATCATTCCCAGCCGCAGTGGCGACAGGGAATAGATGATCGGGCAAGAAAGAAAAATGCGGCAGCTCCGGTTGATGATCGCCCGTGACACTGAAAGGCGATTGCACCGTCATCGAGTGCTGCTGAGGGTTCCCAAAGTGGGTTTGGCCGGAAAACCCAGAGTGGTGGGTTCTGGACGAAGCAGGCCCAAAAAGTCCTGCGCCAAAGTAATCCATAGGGGTCGAAGGCATCTGTCGTGGCTTGAGGATGAAGTTAGATAGAGAAGGGTTTTGTTGAGCAGATGTGGTGCTGTTACCATTGTCACTAGCGGCGGCACCCGCAGCAGCAGCAGTGAGGAGTTCGGTGAAAGAAGAGCTCTGCGAATTATGATTCACCTCTTGTTGATGGGCAGCATGGTTCTCCTCTTTCTCCTTCTCCTTCTCCCTCTCCTTTGCAGTTCTCTCCCTCGCCCGCTCTCTCGCCTTCACCCGGCTTTCACACCGTGAAAGAGATAAAACAGAACCCTTGCTGGTTTCCGAAGTACTGCTACAGGCAGATTTCGACAAGGAAATATGCTGCTGCTGTTGTTGTTGCTGATAAGAAGGGCCAGTTTCTAATTCAATCTCGGCGGGGTCGAATCTGGGTTCGGAAGCGCTGGGCCTCTTTTCATCGCTTGGCTGTTTAGGAGTGTCGGGAAATGTACTGTTAAGTGAAGGAAGTTCGGCAATGGCATCGGCGGCAGCTTTAATCAGCCACTCCACAGCTTTACTGGGTTGATCATAACCCAGACGATCCTGAAGGTCATAGAACTGGATAGCCGTGGAGACCGATAGACGCACCCTACGGTCTCTCAGCCCTTTCGCCGTTAAAACCTTGCTGTGTCGATCTTTCCCGCCGGATGCTCGAGAAACCCTGAAAATCCTAGATGCAGGCCACTGGCGAAGGCGACTACTATCGTTTCCACCTCCACCACTGCACCCACCTCCTCCTCTACCTTCTCCGTCATCATCGTCCTCATCTTGGTACTGCTCTCCTGCTTTTTGACCTATCTTGCTCGTGTCGTTTCGACCGTTACCAATCCTGGAAAGTTTACACGGTTGAATGTCGTCCACCTCCATGCCACTTTCATACCTTTCTCGAGGAAACTAGAACAAGACCCGTTTGGCTCTTCTCCTTTCTTTCTTTATTTCCTCTTAATCCTCCCCCCTCTTCTTTGGAACCCGACAAGAGAGAATAGAGAGAGAAAAAGTGGGTCTCTTCTTGCAAAGTCTAAGCAACTGAATTAGGGTTTCGAGTGCAGGTGGGCGCTGTCCTTTTGCATTGATGACGAATTCTCAGTACTTGGTTTTGTGATAAAGAGCCCTTTTTACGCTCGATATATCGCGCTCGAGGGCCGGAAATGTCAGCAGCTCCGTCTAGCTTTTTACAGTCCTTACAAAAGCTAGCGTCTGGGTAGATGAGCTGTGCGTGTTCTCTTTTTACCTTCGTTTATTATGCAGAAGCCGCTCAGTCGCCTGCGAAGCGCATCAGATGCTTTAGACAACGTACAGCCACTCAATAGTTATTAGGATTTAAGAACCGTTTGGGCGTTGAGATCTCACTGTTTTAGAGCCTTAATAAAGGATCAATGACTAATCCTATTTTAATTTTAAAGACGATAAAAGTTTTAAAAAGCTAAAAAGAAAAAAAAAATCGAAAAGAAAAACCAGAGAAAAGCTTATATCACCTAAAATTCTTGAGATATCAACTCCAATCCGAGCTTTTTTCGGCTTCAGATGAGCTTCTTCGCGGCGAAAAGAAGAAAATACGACGGAAACAAACAGCTAAGACGCAATTACTTAACTAATCCCTTTTTATTTGCAATTTCAACTGATTTGAGACTTTTTGTTTTCGTACCAAAGCTTCCTGGCAGGAACAAAAAATGGCAGAAAACAGTAAGCGTATTGGTACCAAACAGCTTCAAATTATTAATCATGTAAGATATACATATATATTTTTTATGTATTATATATATAGTAGATATAGAAAACGATAAAATATATCACCTTTCCGTTTCTGCAATTCAGGCTCCGATCTGAGCTTCTACTGCAGATTTAAAGTTTGTAATGATGAAAATGGCGGAAACGACCGTCTCCAACGTGAACTCCTACTCGTTGTCCTCCCGTTTTTTCTCAATCGGAAGGCTTGAGATTACAATTGGAAGATCCAGCCGGAAAAGAATCAATAAAATAACGCTTCGGACTCTGGTGGATCTGCACTTTCATCTCTTGTCGCTACTTCTCTAACTCCGCAGATCGGTTCCTGAGTAACAGGGCGCAACAAAATTTAGCGGTTTGAGAATTGTGAGACAAAACTTCAAACATCTACAGCTCCCAATCTCGTCCATGAAAATTTAACTCGATTACAAGGCATGAACTAACCGAAGATGCAAAATGACGAAGAAATCGATTAATGTGACTTAAAATACCCAATCTACCAGCAAAGTTTTCACCTCCGATAACGATCGAAGGCCGATTAAAGTTGCTTAGAGCGACGAGAAGACCTCCTTCGAAGTTCGTTTCTCGCCAAACCGGAATTCCTGTGCTGTTGTTTCCTGCCACGGTTTTCGAGCTTCGAATTCCCAACTCCAAAGTCCTTTTTCCTGTTCAGCTCTTCCTCCAACCTGAGAGTGTACGGCGAGCTCTCATATCTCTCTCGCAGGTTTGACTCTTCTTCGGTTTCTACAACGAACCCTGCAACATTTCTCCAAGACGTCAATGGGCAAGCCTTTAAAGGAGACTGAATTTTGACAGAAAATTAAAGGATTTGCTTTGCTAAATTTCCATGGATTTTCAACTCACACGAATCGGTTTCGTTATTTCTGTGAAAGTGAGAGGAGAGATAGTGTCTGTGTGTGTCTAGGGTTCTTGTCTGAAAAATAAAAATCAAGAGAAAAGAGGGCCGTTTTTATCCGAAATCTGGGCAAGAGCTCGGGCTTCAATGCCCTAAGCGTTCACAATGTTTCGAGCAATCACCGGGCTTACCGGAAAGGACAGGCACAACGCCGTTTCCCTTTAAATAATCTTGCTATTACAAGATTGCCCTTGTTTTTTCACCAATTTACAAATGCAAATGTTTCCACTGTCTACTCTTTTCTTTCCTCTCTTTTTTTATTTTTTTTTTAATTTTCCCTAAATAGAAGTATAATTTGAGAGATCGGCTTCAGTCGGTGCAAACTCCGTTGGAACAGCCTTTACAGCTGTGGAATAGCATTCTATCGATAAGATTTTCTAATTTCCGTTGCATTTTAATCTATTCTTTTTATAAAAATAAGGATTTTTTGGACAATTTCTCTTAACATATAATAAAAGTAAGTGTGATAAAAAAAATAAAGAAGGTGATGAATAAAAGAATTAATTGAAAACATAAATTATTTTTTTAGAGGATGTTTGATAATAGCTAAATTTTTTGAACTAAAAATCTTATTGCTTTGTCACTGAAGTTGAATAGATTAGTACACCCTTAAATATTTTTACATTTTACTAAAAAGTATTTTATTACTTAATTATTTTATCCACTGAAAATAATGCAATAAATCGTTCAGTTCAGCAACATAAGCAGCAGGTGGCTAATTTATTACATACATGACAAAAAAAAAAGTTTTGCAGTTAATAATTTGATATTTTCGGTCAAATCAATAATTATAATTTTCTAATTCTAAGTAGACCAATTCACGGTCTGGGCTTCAGGCTCGGCCCATGAACTTTCACACTACTTCGGGTTGGGCCCATTCAAAATTTGGCAAAAAGTTCAACCCAATCCTGGCCCATGAATAGGTAGGTCTATGTTACAATAAAAATACATAAACTATAATTTCTAATTCTAAATGTATTAAAAAAATTATTCATTTTCCTACTATTATCCAATGTAATTTCATTGTAAACCAAATAAAAATACAACCATTATGTAAGCTGTGATAGCGGATTAGAGGGTTATTTTATTGAATAGAAATTTCAATTAGTACCAAATATATATACTGAAGTAGTTGACCCAGAAAGCCGGCCGAGTGGCAGGTTTGGCGCTTCATCCCGGCAGTTAAACCCGAACCCGATAAAAGTTGTCAAAAAACCTAGGATCCAGTGGCAGTCAGCTGTTCGGGTTGGTTCACCAGTACAAACTGCCCGGTCAATGCCGGTTGGAAAAACACTTATAGACGGAGTAAAAAATTAATTTCCATTTAAGAAGTTTTAACCAGCTCAACTGTCTCTTGTGGGTCATTATAAAATTCTATTTGGACGTGTATACTTTTCTTAATTCACTGTATTAGTGCAGTGGTATTTTATAATGGCTTCAATTTAAAATTACAAATAATGCTGCCAAAGGGCATTTTTGGCATACATGTAAGTTTACCAACAAATATATTCCACTTAAGATATGTCTGATTACCTCACACATAAATCAGCAAGAGGCAATTAAATTTGTCTTGATTCTTGATGCAAATTTATCCCTCCGATTTACTAATTTAATTATCGATTCTCCTCAATATTTTTAGCCTTTATAGCAGTACTATATAAAGCTCCAACATTTTTTTTTCGGTGGAGAAAGGAGATGGTATTAGAGTAAAGTTAGGTGCTGTTCACTATCTTACCATAAAAAGCTTGCAGTTACATGGTTTGATATTGTGCCTTCATATATGGAGAGACATCGAATAACCCATCTCAAGGGTCAATCGGCTCATTAGCAAACTCCACCCTTACTAATACAGAAATTGATCATTCTCCTCATAAATTTTAGGAGAATGACGGATTCAGCCCAGGGTCAGAATTTTTAGACCTAAAGTATAGTTGGGGTGGGTGTCAGCTCAGAATTAATGTTAATTCACGGGCGAATATACACATATAGAGTGAGGTTTTCGACATTTTGAATGTTTATAATTCTATAGTAAAATTCAGAGATCTGCATTGAATCTGTCCATACTTTTCCGTATATATTAGAGAGTCTGAATTTGCTTCTCACACTCACCTCACAGTACTTGTAGTTTTGCAATGGAAACATCTCTCAATGAATGATGTTCCCAATGTTTCACAGCAACATACTGTGAGGGAGGTGGGTGTAAGGACCATTATGTGAAGAAATCCAAACTCAATTTAAAAATTGCTGAATCAAATTTGGGTTGGGTCTCTGAATGCCTACCCAGAATTGAACCCCCAATTACATTCATGAAGAGAGAAAAAAAAAATTACATTCATGAAGAGAGAAAAAAAAATTACATTCATGAAGATAGGGCTCTTTGATTTTGGGTCAGGTTTGACATGAGTGGCTCTAGGCCCGAACCTACCAAAAGTTTGGAACCATTGGTTGCATGTAGAAATTGAGTCTGGATCTATTCCTTACAGAGTGTTTCTCACACTAACCTCACAACATGTCCTGGCAGTACATCTCGAACATCTCCCCGTACTTATATTTATTATTCATGGGGAGATTCTAAATAAATGGAGGGATGTGACTGTGACGTCCGCATGATGAACAGATCCCAGTTCGTAGAAATTAGTAAAATCCTATTGAAAAAACACTAAAATCTAAATTTTATTGTATGGGTAATAATACAAGGAAAATAGCGGATTTGTCTCTTCACTCGTATAAATTTCAAGATTTACATATACTTTAATATTTATAGGGGATTTCCTTAATAATTGGTTACAATTTACAAGGTTAGGGTCAATTCCAAACCGGTCAAGAATCTATGGTCCCAAGATGGACCCAATTGTATATGCTTCAGTCAAAAAGTTTGTGGACCCAAAACTTAATAATCAGGGCTGGGTATGTCGGGTATGTGGGGAATTAGGTTGCCAAGGCCACCCCTAACAAATTTCTCCATTTTACCCTCAAAATAAATATCAATTTAATATTTTTTTTATTGTTCTTCTCTTCAAATTTTGAACTTTATCTTTTGTATCTTTACCAATTCATGGTGGTTCAGCTGGCAAGTTTTCTGATTGGCTATAGCAAAGATTTGGTATCAAATCCTGTTGTCATTACGATTGGGGGTTGTGAATATGGGCAACATGCTACCCCACGATGTGTAGTTTTAGATAAAAAAAATACAAGAAAAAAAAAAAAGAAAAACGAAAACAAGAAGATGAAAGAAGAAGAACTACCCAGGTTGGATGGGCTGACTATAGGGTTAATGGATATGGTGGATGGACTATCCACCGTAAAGCAATTAAAGAAACATGGATACAAGCATTTTTTTCATTAGATTGTTATGTTTTTAAATGCATGCATCCTCTTTCCAAATGCATAAAATACTTGGGGTCAAATTTGTTTTTCACAACCCAACGCAAAGCTTAAAAGCTAAAATTTATCCAAACAGAACCTTTGTTTAGTGTATTAGTGCAAGGTCCTGCGTGTGCCTTGCACATGGAGGGTTTAGCAAGCATTATTTATAAAGTATTTATAGGTACAAGCCTGACCCAAACATACCCTAGCACATAAACTCCTAGAATAATTGATGTCTAACAAGTAGAGGGGCATTGAATCATTTCTCGAAAAAATGTTTATGACTATATGAGACCACAAATGTACACAAACTGAATGTAATTGCAGGAGTGCAGTTGATTCGGACCTATTTACTTAAAAGAAAACTGATAAATTCACAGATATTTTATCAAATTATTTTTTAAGTTATATCAAAAATGGTGATATATTTTATTTTGTTTATCTTCAAGCTAGAGCCAATCATTCAGAATGTTGATCTAATATAACAATATTTTTTATGGTAAATTGCAGGCGTGACTTCATTTTGCAGTCCAGCTTATCCACAAAATAAGATATCATTATTTATCTTACTATACCAAACTCTCTAACTTTCTTAGTTGTAATAAGGTAAATTATAATTTTATATAGAATTTTTAATAATTTTTGCATCCATATATTTTAAGACAAAAATCTTTATTAAATATTATTTCTCACTCCAAATGACAGGTTGGAACCCTGTTTATGGAACAAGTGGGCAAGGGAACCCCTATACACTTATAGAGTCATAGGCGTGGGATATTTTAGGAACAAAAATTCCGACACTCTTGTCGCACTCTCATTGCCCGTAAACATGCCACGTGTCCGTGCAAACATCGAAATTTTAGAGATAAGCATGTTAGTAACATTTTTTCCTTTTTCTATTTTCTTTTTCAATCTCATTGGGTGATTATTCAATTACTATTCCAAGAAAAAACATCACAAGGGTACTTTTGGAAGCTCAAGCTAAAGGGGGTTTTAATATGGAGATGATGAAAAGGAGAGCACAAGCCAGCTTTTTTCCTTTCTCACTAAAAAAAGGTATAAAATGAATTAAAATAAAGGTCTACTTCTTTACCACCCATATGTCAAGTTGTGAACTCACTCATTCACTCTCACAATTAATCACAAACTTTAAGTCTTTACCGTGAGTGTTTATTAATTTAACATTCTCTTTCCATGTCCAAAGAACTTGATTAATCTAAAGCAAGGATTTGGGTGGATTTAATATTGCAATTAACCAAATAATTTATTACCATCGTACATATAATGATGTGATTCATTGCCTCCACTTTTAATATTTTATAACAGCCTTCTTTTTTTAGTGGATTTGAGTGTGGGCCGTGGGTTGTTCATTTCTCTCTCTCTCTCTCTGAGCTGTCAATGGGTCAGGCTATCTGATAGAACCGGATTAACCAAACCAATTATATCGGTTCCGGTTTGGTTGTTTGTGACTTTGTCTCTTGATTAATTATTGGGCCATGATGGGTTCTTGCTGTTCCAAATAGATTAAGATTCAAACCGGTTATATGGCTAATAGTATATAAAGGTCTTTTTTTTTTATTTTGTTATATTTTAAACATAAAAGGGTATAAGATAATTTTTAGGTTAAAAACACTTGTTATATCAATGTATAAACGATACTATTTTATATCATACAGAAAATGAAAACCCAAGATATTATCTAGGTAGTTATAGATGTCAATTAGGTCTGATTGGATCAGGTCCAATTAATTTGAATATTGATTAGTTT